GAAAAAAAGAAGAAGAAGAAGGGTTCTTGGCTTGCTAGTCAATGCTTAGATGACTAAACCCCATTACGAATTCATGTTGGAATTTGGAGATCCACTGTTGTTCATGGTAACTCCACTTTGATTTGTTTAAGTACGGCTCCGTACACATGTTAACATGTGCACAACGGAACCCATTAAAGCTTTCATTTTTCTTTTGATAAAAATTAAAAAGATTCTAACTTTCCTGTTACCATTACATCCCAGAAGTAGAGAAAGAATGCCCCAGTAAATAACCAAGAGGGAAAAAGGTTGGACAAAACGGTTTGGCCATTTTAAGATCAACTCCAGTCCCAGGCCGCCCCCAGAGTCTTTCTCTATCACATATAGTGCGCTGATTCCGCCTCTGTGGTCCCTCCTGTGTCAATTCTTCACGCACAAGCAGAAAATGTAAGAAATTGTATTGTATACAAATTGTTTGCTGATATGTGTCAATGACACCGTCCCGCCAATTAGATCTGTAGCTGTTCTTGAAGAAAATATTTGTTTACTTTCTCTTGGTTGCCCATTTGACTTTAAACTTATGTTGTTTTTTTCAAGTGTCAACCTTTCAATTTGTTCAAATCAGGTTGCTACAGGTTCCCAGAAATTTTGTATTTGTGGGGTCTAAGTAGGTCTTCCCTGCTAATGGTATGATCAGTTTCTTTATTATCTAGCTCATTCATGAAGTTTTGTCTTTTGCTTCTTTGAAATTTAATAGTTGCTGGTCTTTAATCTCGATAAATGGTTGCATTCGGCTTGTATGTGTAGAAGGTTTTTAAGGTTATTTTAAGGCTTGTGGTGGAAAATTTTCTTTACCTTTTGGATCACTCTGAGAGGGCTTGGAAGTGTGATTAGGGACCATTAATTTGAATAATGCTAAAAACCCACTTGGGTTTTTTTAATTCTTTAGTTCAACTACCTCTTGAGGCTGATTGAAATCTGGGTTTCTTGTTATAGATTTTGTGATGCTATTGAATTTTGTTTTTTCAGGATTTTAATTCCATCTTTTTCAACTGTCCTGCCAATGGCTTAACTGGAGTATATGCTGCTTTGATTTTTTTTTTTTTTTTGGTAAAGGATACATTAAAATATTTTGAGATCATGAAATGAAGGGATAGAATTGTAGCAAAGGCTCACATGTAATGGCAAAAACTTACTTTTAATCATTTACCTTAATAAATTTATAGGGTTTTAACCTCTCACCTTATACTATAATATTTTTAGTCTTTTACCTTAATAAGTTTATAAGTTTTAACCTCTCACCTTATACTCTGATACTTTTAGCTCCTCACATATATGAATTAAAGAAAAAGACTCTCACTTAACATTAGATTATAACATTTTGTTAGCTCTATTAGTTAACTATTAGTTCTGTTAGCTAACTGTCAGCATTCATTAGTATTCCATTGTAGAAAATGTAGAATTTAAATTTAATTTTATTTGTTAATTTCATTAACGGAATACTAACAGTTAGCTAACAAAGCTAACAGTTAACTAACAAAACTAACAGTTAGCTAACAGAACTAATAAAACATTATAACTTGACCTTAAGTAAGAGTTATTTTCTTTAATTTGTATACGTGATGGGTTAAAAATATCATAGTATAAGGTGACGGGTTAAACTTACAAACTTATTAAGATAAAGAGTTAAAAATATTATAATATAAGGTGAGGGATTAAAATTTATAAATTTATTAAA